AAGCCCATTTTTTCCTAGTGTTAGTGCCAATGGCTGGTGTTTTTTATGGCTGGATTGATATGAAAACCCACAGTAGATGCTCATCTCTGGCTGCGTTCTGTACAGAGGTCATTCTGACAATGAGTAAAGGTAAAAGACACCTCCTCTCCCTTGAAATAGATGAAAATAATAGACCACTTTAGTGTGTTTGTTTACTTGTTTTCTTTTTAGACAATTGTGTTTTGAACAAAGCTTGTTCCATTTTCTCATCACTATATCTTAATGCCTATCTCATGCTTGGCACATTATTTATTGAACGAACACTAAAATAATGATTGGGGACATGAATTTTCTTTGCTAAATACCTTTTATGAGAAAAATGAAATACATAGTATTAATTGCAAAAAAAAAAGTTACAAAGAGAAAATTTTTCTCAAATCCGCAGTGCTAATTCTCTAATCTCACACCCCAGAGAAACATTTCTGTCTATCCAGAGATATGTGTGAGATATACAAACATACACGTGTGTGTATAAATGTTCTTTGACACAATGCAACTAAATTTTGTATGCTGCTCTGTATATTGATTTTCTTTCACTGAGAAAATATACTAGATATTTCTTCAAAAAATCACATATAGATTCATACAAAATTAAATTTTTAGTATCTCATTATATTAATATTCCATAACAAGAAGATCGCTACTGTCTTTTCAAGCAAAGCAATAATGAATAAGACTGAATGTTAGTCATTGAGTGCACGTGGGTATCTCCCATTTAGATGGAGAAGACATCGGCCTATGCACTGTTGATTTGGACCCAATGAGACTCTGACTTCCCCAGAAGCTCCCTGGGAGGGTCAGATGGCACAGGTCGCACAGGCTGGGGTTGGGTCTTTGACCAATGAGGCAGAAAAAGAGAAGAAACCAAAAAAGAATTTGTATTCCAAATGCATAAAGAATTCCTTTAAATTTATTTTTTAAAGGCAAAAGCAAATAAGAAATAGCCAAAAGTCTTAATCATTTCAAAAGAGTAGATATACGAATGGCCAGAAAACACATGAAAAGGCATTTAACTACACCTGCCATCAGGAAAATCAAAATTAAAATCATAATGCATTACCACAAAGCAGTCGGAATGGATAACATGAAATAGAAAATACTAAGTGGTATTAACTAAGGAAAAATTGAAAAAAAAAGACTGATTTTAGGGCTGAGGCTGGGAAAGAATAACTGGAGTCCGGAGCAGAAAGAGAAAAAGTGATTTTTTTGTCCCCCGATGAGGGCCCTCACTTTATGTAGGAGAGATATTAGGGCTGTGGGTTTGGCACAGAGTAAGCTGGATGGTGACCGCCCCAGGATATGCTCAAATTCCATTATTCCCCAAAACTCTAAATGTAACATATTTAGATAAATAATCTTTGCAGATACGATTAAGTTGAGGATTTCGAGAGTGATCATCCTGGATTATCTGGGTGGGCTATTATGACAGTTTTATAGATTTCTTTAAAAATAAAGAGAATTTTGGCAGTAGAATAAAGTGGCCCTACATTTGTATAGAGCACTATAATATGAGACTTGAAAACTGAATAAGGAAATCACTAGAAAAAATGTAGGCCAATGACTTCCATCAGCATTAAATTATTCTAAATAAGACATTAGTAGCATAATCATGACCAATTTGTGTTTAGGAATTCAAGGATAGTTCAACTGATGTTAAGTCCAACTATGTAATTCTCCACAGTAAAAGATTACAGAAAAAAAGAACTTATTTCAATACATATAAATAAAAGATTCCAAAAGAGGTCAATATTTATTTAGGATTCTAAAACAGATTTTGAGGAGGAATTTAAGTCCTTGATAATGTCTACATATCTAAAAGCTATGGGAAACAATACTTAACAGTGAAATAGTATAAGTATTCAGTTAAAATAAGAAATAAAACTGCCTACTCTCTCTGTCATTGTTTAACTAGTGATCTTTGATAATGTAGGAAAAAATATATAAATATGTTACATAAATATAGGAAATAGCAAGAATAAATTTTGATTTTGGTGGGATTTTCTTGTTTTGTTTTGCACTTTATGTAACCATTTAAATTCAGAAGATTCAATGTTCAAACCAGTAGAACATAAAAGCGTGCCTAGAAATTTGTCTGATATTGTTTATTAATGTAGTGAAGATGTTCTCACAAGGCTTAATTATTTTCAATGAAATGACTACCAAATTCCCAAGAAACTTAACATCTTAATTAAAACTTTGTTTGAAATAATACATTCTTTCAAATATTGTTACCTGTACATGGTAATAAAAATAGGTCTGTGAGATAAAGAGAAGCCAGAATATGTTTTAAACTTATGTAAGATATTTACAAATGATAGAATCGTTTCATAAGTTAGTGGAGAAAGGGAGTGTTATTTTATAAATTGTAAAAACTCTGGACTAGCACTGTGACTTTTTTCCCTTTTGGTGCTGCACAACAAATATTTCTGGTTCTCCATCTAGGTTCATAGTAGGATTGCAATTTATTTCCCCCTTGAATTTAGGAATCACCATGTAACTTGCCTTATCCAATGCGTTCCTCAGCCAGTGACTGGTCGGAGAGACGGGGCACCCTGAGAAAGCCCAGGTCTCACGCCCACGTGGAGCCAGGGGCTGAACGCAGCCTCACCTGAATCAATTACACTGCAAGTGGGGGCAGAGAGGGTCCCTAAAGTTAGGATAGGGAAGGCATCCAAAACTGAGTAGAGTCCTCTTCATCGTTCTTTCCATACAGGTATTTAACTATTTATCTCTGGGTTCACCCAGGTGTTTGGACAACTTTAATAGGCATTGGTAGAGACCCTGTTCAGCCACTTTTGCTAATTACTTCTAAGTTTAAAATCCTCATCAACTATTACGCAAAATGTACATAATAAGCATAATAAGTGCTACTAATGGACATTATTGGAAAGAGGTGTATGAATCTTAAAGTCATATTTACAGAAAGATGTCATGATATTAGAATGCAGTACATTAAACAATGGCTTTTTAAAAAGAATTCATAGCAAATTTTCATTTCTCACTTCCACGAATAGATGGGTTTGTTTTGTTTTTTTTTTTCCTTGAGAAACCAACCTAACTTTGCCCTCCCGACTCTGATTAATACCGTTTTCTGTATTTTGGGTGGCAGAATTCTTACGGCCAACCTTGTGGTTCTTAGAGCAGGCACACCAGGTCTTAGGGAATGCACTTCTATTTGCTTGGTTTTATTTTACTTTCTCTCTTTCCCCTGTTTCCCTAACTTAACAAAAAAGGATGAATTCGACTAATTTTTCTTAAATCTCTTCTGGAAAAGACAAGTTATGAATTAATATGTAATAATAGGTAATATTATTACGTGTGTGATTTTACTTTCTAACAACTAATAGGTAATATTATGACGTGTGTGATTTTACTTTCTAACAACTGTCCTCAGAGCTTCTTCTGCATCCACTCACTCGATGGACTGTCAGCGTCCTCGTTACACATGTTAAACAACCAGAGCTCCGAGACCAGCAGGCTGTTCAAGGACACAAGCTACCCAGAGGTGGAGTTGAGCTCTGAATCCACATCATCCGATGCTGAGCTCTGAACCACTTCCTTATACTGCTCCTTTTCATGTGACGTACTCCACAGTTGTTTTATAATTTTGTATTTGTCATCAACTCACAAATTTATATACATTACCCAGCTTCAGGGCACAACATTGTGGTGGATTAAAACAAAATAAACATAATTCTCTCCCATTAAAAAAAAAATTACTGCAGCAGGAGAGATTAAACATGCTATAATTGACTATAATACAGAATGTAAATAATATAAAGTGCCATAGGCAAGGTACATGTGCAGAACTACTGACACTTTGTGGTTGTGTATGTGTGTGTGCATTTTGGGGACAGTGTGCACACTTGCTGTCATTCATGGAGGAGATCCTGTTGAGGCTGTCAAGCTGAAAGGAAGAAATTACAATCTGAGTCATATTAATGTGCACTCCTCTCCCTTCCCACTCTGGCCTATCCTCATAGTTGGAATTTACACATGTTTGCAAAAGTAGATATTGATGAATCACTCACTATGAGTCATCTGTGATCACCTGCCATGTATCACACGTTACTTCATTTATCTCCTACAGTAGCTTCATTTTTTTCATAAGTGCTTTTATGATTTAAACAATTATAAAGTATTGCTTATAACTTTTTTTCTAAAGAGTTTTAATGATATTCTTTTTTGAACTGAGCCACGGAATATTGAGTATTAGAACTGGATTAGGGTTATAATGCCATCTAAATGCTTTTCTATATCTCTTTTTTTATCCTTTGAGACAATCTGCCCAACTTTGTTTTTGTTTTTTTTTGTGTGTGTGTGATTAGGACATTTTTCTTTCCTCTTCTTTGCTAGGATAGCTCAGCATTTTTATGCACAAACTCATTATATCACATATGCATTTTTCCAGTCGCTCTGAATGTCATTCCTTGTTCTCATCCCAGTAATATTGAACAAAATACTTACAGGTTTCTAGCCTTTTGTCCTAGAGTTTCAGGAAAATACATATTTTCAGAATATGTACTTCCTAGAATCAGGTAAAGATTCACATGGTAATATTGGGATGCAAAACTGATGTATCAGTGGAAAAATCTAGACATTTGTCATTTTTATGAGTGAAAACTAATTGCCCCCAATACAAATTTTATAATCACCTGTTACCTGCTGTCCATACTAGAATAAGTATGAGCTTACGTAGCACTTACTATTAATGAGTTGTTATTCTTTAATATAGAGAAACAAGTCTTATGTGAATCTTCAAATACCGCTAAATAAAAAAAATAAAATTAAAATGTATGAACTCTGAGTGCACAATATGTTCTGTGAAGTTTATCAGTAGAGTCATGTATAGTGCGTGGCCACTCTGACTGGTTTCCTTAGTCTGTTTCCTCAACGTTACAGGGGTCCACTGGTAATACCCGGAGCAACTATCTTATTCACACATTCTGGTTAAATTCTCTACAGCCTACAAATGTCCTTGAAGGCCAGCTTCTCTATTTGATCTTTGTTTATTTCTCAACCAGATGTGACCTCTTCTAGGATAAGGTGTGTATACTTTCTTAACACCCTATTGATGACATGGAGAAGACAGTAGTTATTATGCTTTCAACCTATGACATAGACAATACTTTAAATTAACTGCTGAATAATATGTATATTTCAATGCAAGTGCCCTCTTTCAATATGGCATCCTTTCCATTATGAAATTTTGCAAAATTTAGGTACTCGCCTAGCATAAGCTTAATTAGTGAAATTACTCTATTCCTTTCTCTACCAAAGCTGAGGTAATGGAAGTTGTGACTAGAAACATGGAAGAGGGAAGAGAGGAATAATACAGCATAAAAATCTTTGGGAGGGGCCGGCCCGGTGGCGCACTGCTACAGTGCGCCGCTTGGGGGTGTGGCGGCGCTCCCGCCGAGGGTTCGGATCCCACATACAGACTGGCCACTCACTGGCTGAGCAAGGTGCGGGGGCAGCGCCGAGGGTTGCGATCCCGTTGCCGGTCCAGGTCCGGTGCGGGCGCGACACTGAGGGTTGCG